ATATATATATAGAGAGAGAGAGAGAGAGAGAGAGAGAGAGAATTCTTGATAGAATCATATAAAAAATGCTTTGTAATGATAAAATTATTCCATATCAGATCAGTCATTCTGTCTAAATGTTTAATCTTACACAAAGGTTCACTACCATTTAAGATTAACAATGATTACTTTTATTCAGCAAGGATACTCTAAAGTGAGAGTAAAGATGTTACAAAATATTTATTTTCCAAATAAATGCGGTTCTTTTGAACTTTCTATTCAACAAAGAATCCAGATAAAATATTAAGCAGTTAAACTTCTTTCAACATTGATAATAATAATAATAATAATTTCTGAAGGATCATGTGACACTGAAGACTAGAGTAACGGCTGCTGAAAATTCAGCTTTGCCATCACAGGATTAAATAATATCTTAAAAGATATTAAAGATATTAACAGTTATTTAAAATAGTTATGTTTCATAATATTACTGATTTTACTGTATTTTTGTTTTTTACTGTATTTATTCCATGAAATGCAATGATTCATTCATATATAAATTTCCTTTCAGACAAGGTCTACATTCTGTTTTTTAACATGTGCTGAAGGATTTTAGGTGGGTTGGTAATATGTGCTTGTGATAAGCTACACATTATGGTTCAATTACAAATTGTGCACATAGAACGACTGAATTCTCATTTCTATGCAATGACAGAAACCTGACTTAAAACTCTGCCAAGCGAGTTGGTCATAGTGATCACCATGACGAATACTCCCTCTCTCTGCTGTGACCTTGTGCCACTGCTCAGTCTGTGTAAAATGGAGGCCTATATTTAACCGCTCTACTACAGAGAGCTCTGTAATAAGGCTAGAATGACAGATTAGGCTTCCAGCAGCACAGGCACGTTTTCTCCTCTCCTTCTCTCTGAAGTCAGGTCGTTTCTGGGAGAAGGCACTCATACAGTGAAGTAGGGCTCATCTGTTAGCCAGTGAGGTGAAGCGGCCCATCATCAGATGGGAGCCTGGGGGCCGCTGCCCCACTTCTGTCTGGGGACCTGCAGCTGGGAGCTTTAAACTCAGGCAGAGTGAAGGGCACAATAAAGACGGCTATAGAAAGATTGTTTCTGCAGAGATTTCTACCCTATATTGGGCTCAAATTTTGCATTTTGTCATAACCTACTTTTTCTTTCATTTGTGACTAATAAAAAAATAGCATGGTATTACTATGGTGCTTTGGAGATATACTATTGTATACTTAGAAGTACCATCTAAATACCATTTTTTGTCATCACATGTTCATTAACTAGTTAACATTTATTATTACTGACAATCATCATAAACAGTTTGTCTAGTTTTCCAGTTATCTAAATCAATATCTAAAATCACCTGAAACTAGATAAATGTACTTAAAGGGATAGTTCACCCAAAAATGAAAATTGTCAATATTTACCCTCATGTCGTTCCAAACCTGTATGGGTTTCAATAGTATGGGAAGTTGCCTAAAAATACTACAGTATTTTATTTTTATTTTTTTACTATGGAACCTCCCATACTATGGAAGTCAATGAGGATCAGAAACTGTTTTGTGTACCACATTCTTCAAAATATCTTCTTTCGTGTTCTACAATGGGGACTAGAAACTGTTTGGAAGAAAGAAATCCATACAGGCTTGGAACAAATCGAGAGTGACAATTTTCATTTTTGGGTGAGCTATCACTTTAAGAAGCAAAACTCCATAAGATATTAAGACTTGTTTTCAGAGAATGTATCTTTAATAAGAGTACATTTTAACCTCCTTGCATATTTTTTTTTTCATTTTTAAAGTACAAACAAGTTTAAAAATGTTTTTAAAATATGCCACTGCAGCAAGAGAGAATATATTTATATTCAAGATACAATCTATGAAAACAAGTCTTATCATCTTATTCAGTGTTGCTTCAAGTCAGTTTATCTTGTTATATATATGGAAAACAAATAAAGACTAATTAAAAACCAATTAAAAAGTCATGTTTGCAGTGAATTAGCCTACATGTAATGTTTATGTTTACCAGGCAATGCAGCAACTTGACACATCAACACAGAACTGATCTTTGGTCATAGGTGTGCGTATATCACCTATTTTACAGTAGTTTAGAAGGAAGCTCATTCAATCATATTGTAGAAGCTATTATGTATTGCCATAATGCTGCTGTGAAATATCTGGGTTTTTATGCAGCTGCCTTCAAAACTCTAAGAATCCCACACAAAAAAAAGCTTCATCTTTGTAGTCACTTGAATACTGACAACAACTGACTCAATTGGGTCATCAAAAATCAAACGACTAAACAAGACAGCAAATTATCATACACAGATTCTTGAACTGGCAATGTGTCAGTGTTGTCAGGAGAAGGAACAATTATGTCATTGGGACCTTAGGAACAAGAACGGCTCAGAGCTTATTGCCATGGCAACCCTCCAGCGTTTGCCAAGTTGCTGCAGCTTGATTCTCAATCTCAGAAGCTCAGGAATCGAATGTGGGAATGTTTTGTAATTATTATATTTTTCATAATTATTTATGGGGATTTTGCATTTTAATAGGATCAAGAACTTGATTTGAACAGCATGTGTGCTAACCACTGCAATAGGGCTGCACTATTTAGGCGAAATAAAAATTAACTTTTAACTAAAAATGAATAAAAATTGTGATCACGATATAAAGTCTGATTTTTTATTTTTTTTTTAAAGCTCCAGGTTTGTTGTACTTGTCTGTAGGGATGCACAATTTGGCAAAAATAAATAAAGAAATTGATAAATAAATAAACCAATATAACAATAATAAATATTCAACAAAATAAAAAAAATTACTTTTGCAATATTTCACTGGAAATAAAAAAAAATCTGTATTATTAAAGAAAAATATAAGAATTTTATTTTACATTACAACTGTAAAATAACATTACTAATAATATTTTTTGCTGTCTCAATTTCTTCATTTTCAAATGTTCAAAACATTGAGATTTGATTTTTGGTGGGAAAAACACAGGGAGCCCTATAAAAGCTAAAAGCCCTAAAAGCAACTGCTTTGTTAAGTTCTTCTCATTACAAGTTTGGGAAGGTGGTTGGTGGATGGTAGGTTGCCAAATGCACATTTAAGCGACCGAATGAAGCTGCTGTACAAAACACTGGATTATGAGCTTCTCACGTGTAAATGAACACAGTGCCATGCTACCATTTGAAACATGCAGCTCTTATATTTATGTGATTAAATCACAGCCTTTGTGATTTGATAATCGCACTAAGCCATATCTCGATTTCACAGGGTTCGTACACATTTTTACCAATACATTTCCATGACTTTTCCATGACTTTTGAGACAATATTCATGACCTAAATGTTCCATTATTTTACAATAAGAATAAAAATCTGTTCAAATTATCATAGCATATGTTAACTAAAATGAATGACTATTAATGCTACTGGTTTGCTTTCTTGTTTTAGTAAATAAGAACAAGCTGCAACTGCGCCAGACGTTACTCCACATTTCACATATCACATCACTGAATATTATCATTTATTTAACTGTGTGGCCAGGATGGCCATTTTGGTGTCATTTTGTGTGTATTTTTGCTGCTTAAATGCAACAAGCTGCGCTTTAGAGCCCTGCATTTCAGCCCGAGTCCAACGGCCCCAACTTATTTATGGCTTCGGGACAATTTTCACACTGGATTATGAGTTTCTCACGTGTAAATGAACACAGTGCCATGCTACCATTTGAAACATGCAGCTCTTATATTTATGTGATTAAATCACAGCCTTTGTGATTTGATAATCGCACTAAGCCATATCTCGATTTCACAGGGTTCGTACACATTTTTACCAATACATTTCCATGACTTTTCCATGACTTTTGAGACAATATTCATGACCTAAATGTTCCATTATTTTACAATAAGAATAAAAATCTGTTCAAATTATCATAGCATATGTTAACTAAAATGAATGACTATTAATGCTACTCGTTTGCTTTCTTGTTTTAGTAATAAGTACATTTAAGTTTTAATTTCCACTTTGTTATTTATTTGGAACACAGAATGTGCAACATGTATTCCAAATAATACTAAATATTAGTGCAACTATTATTTCCAAATACAGACCAAAACTAATATTTCCAAACATACACCAACCTCTTGACTGTGCTCTTTGGTGGGAAAGGATTCGCTATCTCCATCAGAAAAAGATCCAGATTCGTCACTGGAATTAGTGTCGTAGGACTTCTCACACTTAATCTTTGGTGGCCCCGACATGCTATGCTCCTGGTGTTCAAGGGCCAGGCATCGAGCCATGGTGGAACAAGGAGAGGTAGAGAGCTCAAACTGGGGCAGGCTGGAAGGAGATCCTCCACTGCCATCCTCAGCGTAGGAGTAGGAAGAGCAAGAGCTGGAGGTTCTGATGTGGCTCTCGGCACGAGACGAACGGGGACACATTTTAATAGGCACCGGACAGCTGCTCTTTGGCTGGCGGCGGTAGGGCAATGCGGGCTCTTGAGAGACAGAAGTTGGGGACAGTGCTTGGGAGCAGGGGAATGACTGGCTGGAACCTGCCCATAAGTCATCTGGGGTCTCCTGCCCCAAACAGCTCTCACCCGGATAAGAGTGCGCGGGTGCCGCCAGATGGTAGGGGGCTCGAGAGGAGAAGATGACACTTCTTCTGTCGCTCTCCTGTTCAGATTCTTGGGAACAGATCATCTCAAAGGAAAGTGACTTGAGGGACACGGCATCAGTTAATTTCTCAGCCTTCTTTGAGGATGTCACTCCAAGTCCCCCAACGAAGGCCTGATAGTCTTTTTGGAAGTAATTTGGAGCAACTTGTCGTTCTTGAAGGGGAGAGGTTCTGCTGGTGAGTTGCAGATCAGCGCTAAGACAATGATCCGAAGACGTGACTTCCTTTTTATCAAGGGAGCTCAGGCACACTGGTGAACGTTTGCTCACAGGCAATTCAATGGGTGTTGAACTAAGTTGTCTTCCTTCAAACTCCATTTCCATCTCCATCTCATTCCCTTTACCCCTGACCAGACCGTCCTGCTCCAACTCTGACAAGTCCAGTGGCACACAGTCTTCCCCACTTGCTGGTTCTGCTATAACCTGGGAAAAATTACGGCCCTGGGCATCGCTGCTGGTGACAGTATCCTGCAGGGAGCCGTGTAAGCTTGAGGTACTGCTGTGTGAGCAGTTGGTTGCGTTGTGCTTAGCAAGAACCTGATGGTACTTTCTATATTTGGGATAATGAGGGATGTCAAAAGCTGGAGGTTGGTCTGATTGATGCAGGTTGTTGGTGACTTTTAATTGCTCATTTTCAGGGTGCAGGCTTGATCCGAACAGTGGTGGTTTGGAATCACTCAACCGCACATTTGCGTCCTCTGACCTGTTATCGTGATGCTTCTGAACCAGGGTCTGAGGTGAAGGGGGATTCTGGCTGGTGTGCATGCCAGCAACCTCACTTTTCATCTGGGCCTGTAGGAAGCGGAAGCAGGAGTCTTCGAGGTTGTGCATTCCCAGGAATTCTGCACAACACATAACATCCTGGATGTTGTCCCTGTTGAGTAGCAGCTTGGCTGTGTAAGCAAACTGCAACAGTGGGGCAAAGCCTTTCTCCGTGATCTAAAAAAGAAAACAAAACAAGCTGACATTTCAGGGTCACCAGTGGTATTTTAATCAAATTAAAGTGGCACTTTTGTGATGTTTTATTTGTTTCCCCAAATACCACTTATATTGTTACTCAAGGTTTCCATTCATTTTCTACCTCCTTTATGATAATTCCAAAAGGCTGTTTACTACTGTACCTTTAAGATTTAAGTAATAGTGATGCACTGATATTTCTAATTAATGCTAGACATTAAAATTTGATACTACTTCGTCTAAATGCATAAAAAAATAACAAAAAATTAAAATAAAATAATTGAAACATAACAAATGAACGTTGTTATTATAACATTAATGTACAGTTAGATATTTGCTAACGATTACATTTAACAGTGTTATTAAATTATTCACATTTTTAAAGATTAAGTGAGTGTTAGATGATGACAAAGGTCACTTAAATGTAAAAAGGGGAGAAGGGAGCATACAGAAATTAAATCTATATCGACTGATATATAGACACACACAACCGTTCAAACGTTTGGGGTCAGTAAGAAGTTAAAAAGTTTTTGAAAGAAGTCTTTTATGCTCACCAAGGCTGCATTTATTTGATCAAAAATACAGTAAAAATATTGTGAAATATTACAATTTAAAATAATTGTTTTCTAATTTAATATATTTTAAAATGCAATTCATTCCAGTGATGGCAAAGCTTAATTTTCAGTCAATTTTACTCCAGTCTTCAGTATCACATGATCCTTCAGAAATCATTCTAATATTATGATTTGGTGCTCAAGAAGCATTTCTCATAATTATTAATGTTGAGAACATTTATGCTGCTTAATATTTTTGTGGAAACTGTGACCACAAATGACTGAGAATAATCAGATCATCCTCAAATCACATTTAAAAATCATAACTGTGTCTATGCTACAAAAAGTATCTGAGCTTCCTATCAAGGTCTTACAAGGCTTTATGTCAAGTAATAAAATGAAGTGAATTGCATAGTGTCAGGAACAAAAATAAACCACCCCTTTCATCACTTTCAATCACTCTATCGCTCTCACAGGTATCCATGAATGCTCGGGGCAGCGCAACCACATCAAGAACATCATCTTTAAAATAGAACGTCATTCTGCTGAAAATACAGCTCCCCCAGACATTCAGTCAGTCCTCCCAGAGCTGGGAGGATGCTGAGCATTCTGTGGATCTATTTTCAGCTGGCATCAGCAGCTGCTGCCTGCAGAAGCATGTCTTTATGGAAGCCAAGCACCATATGAGACTCCTTTAATGTTATAACCAGCAATCCTAATGAGGGCAGCAGGCAGGGACGGACGCATGTACACACACACACACAAAGCAGAAAGCAAAGACTCCACACTATAAAGCAAGAGGGAAGCAGCTCAGCATGGCTCTGAGGAGAGAATGAGATATGAAGCCAATTTCCCGGACATTACAGAATACAATTTGACATTAAGTGTTTTGAAGATGAACGATAATTAATATATAAGCAGAGGCAAATGGGGGCCTTCTGACATATCTGGGATATTGTAAATAAGTTTGAGCTTTGAGATCGCAAAGCACCTAAAGTATTACAATACAGAGGATCAGCCATGAATAAATCATACTTCCTCAAGCACAATGAAGTTCTGAGAGGGAACTCTGCTAACACTCCTGGTAAAGAACATAAGCAATTATGCCAACTCAAAGCTGTAGACAATGAACATGTTTTCCTCACTGACACATTCCTGTTGGACTGCTCTATCTATCAGTACACAAAGGAACACATTTCTTGTTGTTAGAACACAATATAGTAATATCAATTACAAAATAAACTATATAATATTTGAATTTATTTTAAAATGTAACTTATTCCTGTAATGACAAAGCTGAATTTTCAGCAGCCATTACTAAAGTCTTCAGTGTCACATGATGATCCTTCAGAAATCATTCTAATATGCTGATTTGGTGCTTAAGAAACATTTTTATTATCAATGCAGTGCTGCTTAATATTTTTGTGAAAATATACCGGATTCTTTGATGAATAGAAAGATCAAAAGAACAGCATTTATTTGAAATATATTTTGTAACATTATACATGTCAAAATCTTAATCTTAAAAATATGCTGATTTGGTGTTTAGGAAACATTTCTTCTTATTATTAATGTTAAAAAGGGTTCTGCTGCTCAATAATTTAGGAAAACCATAATACATTTTTTAAAATAATTTCCTTATAAAGTAGAAATCTTTTGAAACATTACAATTTTCTTTACAAATGTCTTTTTTGAACAAGTCATTGTTTCCTTGCTGAATAAAAGTATTAACACCCAACTTTTGAATGGTAGTGTATATTACACTACACTACATAAATTTCAAGACATTTTCAAATGTTATTCATTTCCAAGACTATTTCAGACATTTGAACATTTTTAAATTTACACAATATTTTTCATGACTGTGGAACTGTACACAACATTCACTCTAAATGCAATCATAAATACTCCAAAACATAAAATGCATTGTCTGTTGAAATGACATCTTTTAATTTTCAAGGCAGGCATAGTTATCTCTGCAACAAATCGTCTGATTAATTGCCTTATCAAAAAAAAAAAAAAAGTAGTCCTGAAACTGACAAATAAACATCTTTATTTTCATTTATTTTTTCATTCATTTTATATGCAGTAATCTTCAAAAGTACAAGGATTTCATAGATCTCATAGTTAACCTTATCTAGCACAGTTGGGATTTTTGTGAGGTTTTCAGTGCAGGTCATTCAGGTGTATCCTTGCAGGCTGTTAGTGTTAATGTATGCTGAATCTGTACCTCTGCCAAATGAGGACACTCACCTTCTGTGGCAGGTTGATGACCGGCTCATGTTCCGTCTGGCCCCTGAGCAGTAGGGAGAAATATTGGCTACAAGCTGCCAGCACTGCCCTGTGGGCACGAATCTCCCTCCCCTCCACCAGCACTGTCACATCACACAGGATGTCCTGCTTCCGCTGTTCATTCAGGCACAGGAGGATGTTGGCACAATGCACCGTCGACTCATAGACATACATGGGAGCTTCAGGCTTCTCCTCCGTAGACATTCCTTGCTCAGAGCCTGTGGATAAAAGTGACATGACATGACTGCTCCACATTATTCAAGCTTCAAAAAAAATATTTATAAAATATTTATTGCACATGTGAAAGCTAGAAAAAAAACATACATGCTATCCATCTCAATGGCAGTTCGTCGAAACCAATAATGGACAACTGCACAATTGCTGATGCAATCGCACAGATGTCTCAATTTGAGCTGATGGCCAATTAGCAGCATGTGTCAGCTTCAAAAGTGGACTAATAATGAGGACTTTGATATTTGAATTTCCAAAATGACACTAGTGGAGTTTCAAAGAGGCTGTAGTTGCACATAAACAGCAACTGCTTTAGCATGTCAAGGGTAATGGTCTCAAAAATAAAGAATATGTCAAACAAGCCCACTGAAGCTCACATTCAGGGCAGTTGCTACATATAGAAAGCCAAAAATGTGTTGCCAACCGTAAAAAATGTGAGTGTATAATAGTATGGGTAGAGATCTCAAGGGAGTCTAACGATGGCTCTGCATGACCATAATAAATGGCAATAGAATATGAGCCTATTTTGCAAGACCAGGTTGCAATAGTGGTAGCCTCTGTTGCACTATTCCTGCTGTTCCCATTTTCAAAACGATAAAAATAAGTTTCGTACACACCAACGTGAAGTCAAACATCTTCTGTGGTCTCCCAAATAATCAGATCCAAATATCACACAGGGAATTTGATTTATGGGATATTTTGAAGTGTAGAAATTAAATAACAACTTAAACGTCTTAACCGTCATTTTTGATCAATTTAATGCATCCTTGCTGTACAAGTATGTATTTCTAAAAAATAAAAAAAAACCTTAGAATGGTAACACCTTTAGAATGGTAGTGTACATATAATACTTATATAATACTGAATACAATTTTCAGTATAATGATGATTATACTTTTTGATGTTGGTCAGAAAGCAAATTGAAGCAAGGAAATTAAAATGTAAATGACAAATATTTAAACAGAGGACAAATGTTGCATTAGCTAAAATTGTTAGCAAACTAATCCACAGAATAAATTAAGACGGCAGATTAATAAAATTATCTAAATTAATATTGTGATATTAGGACATTGACTGTTTTCTATTTTTATAAGCAGAAATTAATCTACAAATAAGACAATATAAAAACTGCAGTGTGTGTGTGTGTGTGTGTGTAATGTGTATATACACACACTGAATATAATTTCTAATATTAGTGAAGACTATATGGTGAGCATAAACCTTTTGATTTTAGCTAAATATGTTAGCAAACTATATTAATAAATTTGTAATCCATATAATAAACACAAGAATATTTTTCTAAGCAGAAATCAACAAGAAAGATAATACAATAACACAAATAACCATATTCATTTGATAAGTGGTACTATTTATAGTCTGTCAGTCATTACTTCATAATACATTTCTTGAGGATGACAGAAAACCTGATCCAGATTTATTTTGCAGTAATGATTGGTTGACTGTGCATTATCCCTCACATATACTTCTACAACAAAAGATGTAGTTTCTACTCTATTATCACACTTTATTATGTTCATTCCTAGAGGCAGTGAAAAGCTGAAAGGAGGAACTAGTAAGGGGGATATTCCAATTATTTTGAACCAGTCTAGTGAAGATTAGCTGTTGAATAGCAATTGCTCACTCTAACAAATGGCATTTCAGCATCTTGGCTTTGGCTATCTTAGCATCAGCTTGTGAATCATTAACACATCTCCCAAAAAAACACATTCAGAGCCACTCACACTAACAGAGAAATGTCTGATAGCAGCTGTCACTCGCTTGCTCAACCCACACTAATGAGATATCACCAGTATGTCAATTCATTCAGAGATGTTGCTCTGAAAAGGAAAAATACCATGCAAATAAACAGAGGGAAATTACAGCATGTTTCATCTGTTCATTCTGTTTCTGCTCCTCCAGGACTGAATGGAAATATAATTAGAAAGCATTTGTTAAAATGCCCACAATGTTGACCAACCCTGCAGTCTCCCTAATTTATGAAGCCCCTAATTCCCCGACCTAGATCCACTGCCAACAGCGATATGGCTTTATATGCAGGAGTAATAATTCCTTTGACGGAAAAGAGACTGTAATAATGAGCATGTACACACTCTAGGAACAAACTGTAATCAGATAAACTGCATATATATAAAATGTATAATTCTGGATAATTAAGTTAAATTTATTACAAACAGATTTCAGCACAATTTTTTTTTTTTTCAATTTGACATTTTCTGAAGAAAATGCGAGTAGCACAAAACACAAATGTAACAGGTTAATGTTCAATGCTAAAAGGGATCGTTCACCCAAAAATGGAAATTCTGTTATCATTTAGGCTACTCACCCTCAAGTTGTTCCAAACCTGTATGAATTTCTTTCTTCTGTTGAACATTAAAGCAGATATTTTGAAGAATGTTGGAGTTGCTGGTCCCCACGAATTTCGATCGTATGGAAAAAATGCTATGGAAGTCAGTGGGGATCAGAAACTGTTTGGTTACTCACATTCTTCTAAAATTTTTTTAATGTTCAACAGAAGCAAAAAACTCATACAGGAAAGACTTAGTTGAGGGTGAGTAAATGATGACAGAATTTTCATTTTTGAGTGAAGTATCCCTTTAAGGTTTGTTCAGAGAGCAGTTGCAATAGTGATTTTTGCTTTAGTGTTTCCATTTAAACTCAACAAAAATTAAGTTCAAGAAAAGAAGTCCATTAGATCCCACATGGACAAACATTAAATAAATGATTACACGGCACAAACGCGGTGACCCCATTTTCCACACAATCACCAAGACATTAATTAAAAAGTACATATAATTCAAGGCCTCCTACTTCAGGGGGTAATATGGCCGTTATGACCACCAAGAGAAGCCTGGCCTAATTTCATACTGACCTGATTACAGCAGCTCTTCTTTCAGTTCCAACCACTGAAGAGCTTTCTGAGAATCACAGTATGCTGTATTTTAAAAGAAGCTGAAGTGAGATGGTTTAACATGCTAAAAAGGAGAAACTATTAGACAATAACTTAAATAATATGATAAGATGTTTTTAGTTTTTTTTTTAGAAACTTTTATCCAAAGCAACTTACTATACAACTTGACCAATGAACAATGAAAGAAAGAAAGAATAGAAAATAAATACAGGAATATATGACTTGATAAAACAATTCATTTTTCATTTTCATTTTTCATCACTAATTAAAAAAAATATTTCAATTTAGTCCTAAACTGATTTTTTATTATGTTTGCCTTTATTAATTTTTTCTGTATTTATTTTAACTTTATATTTATTCCTTAATTTATTTTATATTTTTATTCATTTATTTACTTATGCATTAATTTCTGCAGGTTTAGTTCTCCATAAGAGTGTTTGTGTAGAATGAACATTCAAATTTCAGAATATATGTATGTATAAACGAATATATGCATGCACAAATGTCTCCAATAAAAGGTTCTGTCAGGACCACTATCGTCAAAGATGATTGACAATTAACATACAGTTTGGATTGGCGGTATGGTTCTGTTCTGGGCAAGAACTCCCTGCGCATCCATGCAGACTAGCATGGATGAGAGTAGCGATAACCCCCCCAGGGTAAACAGAACAGAACCAACAAATGCATTGCAGATATCGTTAAAGTTCAATAATGTTATGTACACATTTTAGAATTAGTCTGATTCAAAGGAGAATCAGAAGGCTGAATCCTGACTGACAGAGGAGGAGCTGGGGATGGAGGAGGGTAATTAGCTATTGAGCAATGCGAA